CCGACTTGTCCTCCGCGAAGTGCGACTCGACGAACCTCTTGATCTCCTGCAAGTCCTGCTCCTCGAGCATGCCACGCACCGCTCTCCTGCAGAACAAGTCCGGATAGTAGGCCGTTGCTGCTGTCCGAGCTCCTCCGACACAAGGCGTGTGTGTGTGTGTGTGTGTGTGTGTGTGTGTGTGTATGCTGTCCGTGACATCTTATAGACAGTGACTGCCGTATTCTTGGAGATGATGACCAGATCTCCCATGGCTTCATCAGAGGTAGACCGTTGTCCTTGGCCTTGACCCCAAACATGCACCCGTCACAGATCACTGACTGCAATTCTGCTTCTCGAACTATCTGCTTCAGCTCTGGCCAGCGGTACGGGGAAAGATTCTTCGGCCACTCCCAGTGAATATGGCCCTTATCAGCCACTTGATCCATGACTGGAATGAGACAATTCCGGATGCTCTTCTTGCGGCTCTGCAAAACCTGTGCCCAAATTTCAGGCTTGTTCATGTTGAAATTCTGATTGCCACTCCATGGCCTACAAGGTAGATAAATCCAGAGATGAATAGGTCGCAGTCGACTGCTCTCTGCTCGTGCTTGCTGCAAACCTCCAGTGGTCGATAGCTCGAATCCGTTCCAACCGCTACTTCGTACTGCACTGTCCTTACCTGACTCCTGCTGCATGAACGCAGTAAGGCCCGACGCTGGTGAGCAGCAGACCTCCATTAGCTTGACTCCAGCAGTGTCCGTCAGGTGGGACCACTCCGGCGTCGTGCTCTTGTTCCGGTGCCCCGCCGGCCAGGCTGAGGTCCTGAAGCGGCCCTTGCCGGCCTGCCCAGATGGGCCTGCCGTCCTCGGCTCCGCCTCGACCTTCTGCACCCTGGCAGTCAGCGCCGTCATCTGATTCTTCATGTCGCCCAGCAGGTCGACGATCTGCTCCTCTTGGTCTTCACGTCCTCCATCTTGGTCGGCTCCTCGGCGCACGACCTCTTGGCCGTCAGCTTCTTCGCCTGAGGAACCTCCTCCTTCACCATAAGCCATGAAGCGTCCACCTTGACCTGCTCTGGCTTCGGAAGCTCGAACTTTTGCTTGTTCATCATGTCCTCCTGCTTGATGCCCTTGGATGCGAGTCAGTCGGTCAGCTTTTCGAAGCGCAGGTCCTTCAGGCTCACCAGCCAGCCTGCATACTCCCGCTCGTGCTCCCAAAGGTATAGGTAGGTCCTGCCCTTGTGCCTCCCGAAAAGGACGACCTCCGACGGACTGGTCTGCACGCCCCTCTCCTCGAACTTCTCGACGATCAGGATCTGCAGATCGCCCTTGGTCTCGCGGCCCGTGAGGATGCACCCCGCGCCCTGGGCCATAGCGATCAGCTCTCCCTTCTTCTTGTGGAGTGATGGTACCTCGACGCTGACTGGCATCGCCTTGTGAATCTGCCGAAGGCGCGCTCGCAGCATCTCGACCGTCATGTTGTGACCGTCCTCGTCCCATGAACATAGAACATAACTCTTGCAGAAGCTCCAGCTTCCGCATCGCCGAGGTATGTGGGTGCGAGAACATCTGGAGATTTGTGACCCTTCTGTCCTAGGGCCTGGGGCTCTGAAGGACCTTGAGCCGCATTCCGAAAACGGGACATACAGTTAGACCACGTCGGATTCAAGACCGCATCATCGAGCATTCCAGGATGTTCCGAAACGCCGTCACTCTGAGAAACGTGTTCCGAGATCCCCGGGCCCTTGTCCGAGTTCACATAGGTATTCGAGCCGACCAGGGTAGTGCTAGAAGTTAGACAACCTCTGAGTCTTCGAAGACCCCACCGGACTCGCAGAAGACTGTACCAGAGATCTTTGAGATACTTGGGTTTCCGCCGGCGTCATCTGAGAGCCCGAAGATGCAACCTGTGAACCTCTCCCTGTACTCAGTGATCTCGTGGAGGCCCCCGTAGATCCTCTGGTGGCCCTTCTCGTAAACGTCGATAGTGAATCGGTTCCAGGGGTCACCCAAGTTGTTTCTGCTGGGGGCTCCTTAGAGCCTGACTGTCGTCCAGGCCCCTGTTGGGCCTCTGCTGTCGTCCAAAGTGACGTCTCAGTCCTGGGTACGCCGTCATCAGATGCAATGCGAAGTGACAAGTGAGGTGGTGACCGAGGGAACGATGAGGAGGTGATGTATGGCGCAACCGCTGGCGCCGTCGCGTCCGAATCCTCCAGCGCAGGGACCTGCGCCGGAGCAGCAAGGGCTGCCACGCCCCGACTCAAGATGCAATCTGCTGGTCTCTCGGCCGTCTCGCCGTCGCCCAGCAGGTCGCACATCAAATCGATGAGAAGGTGGCCAGTACGTCACCTCTGGAAATTGATCATCCTCGGGCTATCAATCTTCTTGAAGATTCCGACACCCGCCTCGAAGTCGATCACCGCCCCAAGGAAGTTCAGCGTCTCGATGGACACCAGGATCAGAATGCCCGCAGCGTCCACTACGCGCACCTGGAAGCTCACGTAGGTCCCCTGGATCAGCAGCTTGAAAGTGACTCGGCACAGCACGCGCTTGACCTCGCCATTCCCGAACTTGTAGACAGGTCGGTCGTTTAGGTCCTTTTCCGTCGGCGGATGGCCCCTCGCGATCAGGATCTCGTTCAGGTTCTCGATCGCTTCCACGCCGCTGATGGTCTTTGTGGCCCCGCAGTCCACGATGTCGTGGCCCGTCTCCGTAGTGCGCGACACGATGTACGCCATCTTCACCTCCGGGTCGTTGAGGTCGATGGTGTCCCCGATCGGCCTCCATTTGGTCATCGTCCTCCGCCGAGCACGCGAGCTCGCACATCAGGATGAGGCCGTTTAAGCGCTCTCCGCCATCCGCAGGTCGGTGTCCTTGTCCGCGTCCGACATATAGCTTACCGTCACCCTTATCAGGACAGGCTCCCGTACGATGTCCTCCACCGCACTTCAGGCACGGTCCTTGGCGCCCGTCACTGCGTCCATGTCCGCCGCTTCCGAAGATCTTCCGGCCAGTCCTGTGTCTGTTGATCTGTTGTCGTGCATTTTGCAGTCGTCGTTGGCTGGCCTGGAATTGTACGTAGGCCTCCTCTTCTTCGTTAATCGCGTTGACGTCTGCCTCGTCGTTGCCTTTGCCGTCACTTTCCTCCTCGATGGGCTCCGACGCCAACGCCACATCCTGGCTCTCCTCAGCGTTCCAGGTTTGCGCGTCCTCTCTGTAGAACGCCGCTGCCGCCACCTGCTGACGTATAAACTTTGACTTGCGGTAGTCCCGGTCCTTGAGGTTCTCATCGCTAGGCCATTGCGTCCGTAGTGCACCTTCCACGTTCTCCACCGTGAAGTCTCCACGACACGAGGCGATCATTGCTGCGATCTCGCCACCGTCCAGTCCAGCACGATGCAGTAGGTACCAGCCGCGCACGATGCTCGGCAGCACCTCCGGCAGGTCCCGCGTCGGAAACGTATATTGGTTGTCGCTGTCGTGGCCGTGCTTCCACCACGGCTGAGACCATCAACCTTGTTGTCGCCATCAATTGTCTATAGTCGCATTCCAGTCACGAGCTTCATCCGCTTCCTGAAATTCAGTGGTGCCCTCTTCGCCACCAACACGATGCCAGGAACCTTCCCCAGAGTCCGCTCTGGCTTCCGTCCGGCCAGCGACTGAATCTGGTAGCCTGCGTCGCTGGTGTCTGAATCGTCTCTGGTTGCCCCACCATGCGTGCCAGGGCCACCCGTAGACGTTGGTAGCTCTCGTGGACCCTGAGACAGTACTCAGCCATCCCCTCACCGCGTCTCCTGCGCAGTTTCACGAAGTACTCCTCCATGTAGTGGCCCACGTCCTCGACAGGCTGTCGCATCATATTCTTCTGTAGAAGCTCCAGCTTGTCGGCACCCCACGTCGACGACAACCAGCCCCGAGGCTGCCCGATGCATGCTGTCGCCGCCGGTCCGGACAGGCGTGCCACCAACCTGAGGCCGCACAAGTACCTGTCCTCCCACTTGGTGCCGTCCACGTAGTTCATCACATCTTGCTGGTAACGTTCCCACGTTCCAGCATTGCCGTTCCAGGCCGGGATCCTGGCCTGTTTATCTTCCATGGAGCAGAAACCTGCTCCGCTACCGTGTGAAGCGAAGCTTCACACGCAGCTCTCTTTCCACCTCGCAGCCGGCCACGCACTCGCCAGTTGTCCTCTCTCGGAGGCTTCCCTCGACGCCTCGTCTCGCGCAGCACTGCACAGCACGTTCTGGGAGATAGGATGGAGAAAGATGTAGATGGTATGGTATTGGGCTCTTGGATAGAAGGTGGGAGAAAGGGGGGCCTCTCCAGGCCCTGGGACCCTGCTGGTCCACGGCAAAGGCCTGTAATCAAAACGGCTGTGGATAGAGCGAATTCAGAAGCATTCGGACACAAGATCTTCAGATCGACACCCTCCCCCTTCCCCCCGTTCTGTGGGCGCTTCAAATGATGATTTAGGGACCCCCCCCAGTTCCGACGTGTCCAAGGATTTGTTCCAAGCGAGCGTCCACGAAACGCGTTCTCTCCTAGCCTGATGGCCCTCGTGGCTCCGAAACAAATCTGCGAGAAGGTGCGCCACGCCCTGGAGAAACCTGGAATTTTTGATCTGGGCTGTTCTATGCTCTCACTGAGGACTGAGGGCGGAGGATTCGAGAGATCAGAGGGCATTCCAACTCGCCCTCGGGCGGAGCTAGGGCAGGGATACATCGTTCCGCGTTCCAGAACGGCGGCCGCGGCGCCCGATACATCCTCCAGAACCGTTGGATTTCAGAGATCCTCGATTGATCCTGTCCGATTTTGTCCCTGTCCTGGCTTCTTCTTACGTGCCTCAGGGCACAGTGGCAGACACGTCCGCAACTTGCAGGCAGAAATGCGTTCGTATCCACCCCGGGGGAAGAAGGCGGAGGAGGATGAGGAGGAGAAGGAGAAGATGGAGGAGGAAACGACAGGGTTCAGCATGGTTCTTTGTGCTCGGCGAGCCCTAGCATCCTCGCTGCTGGGATCGAGGTACGCTGTGCTCACCATCATGGCAACCTTCATGCTCATCCCGATTTCCCTCGCCATTGAGGGCCGCGACCTGAGCCTTCCTGCTGATGCAGCGCAGCACAGAGCATCCACACATCTTCGCAGGGATGAGGCATCAGTATTCTTGTGTTTGTTCCCAGCCATCTTGTGGTGTTGGGTCCTCGTTTTGAAGAGGGCGCCCCGCATCTCCTTTTCTCCCCTCTCCTCTCCTCCTCCCCCTCCCCCTCCTCCTCCTCCTCCTCCTCCTCCTCCTCCTCTTCTTCCCTCCTCCTCTTCCCTCCTCCCATCATCATCGTCATCGTCATCATCATCATCATCATTATTATCATTATCATCATCGTCATCATCATCATTTGCAGCATCACAATCATCATCTTCAAAATCATCATCATCATCATCTTCATCATCATCTTCATCTTCATCGTCATCGTCATCGTCATCATCATCGTCATCATCATTATCGTCACCATCACCATCAGCTTCGTCATCATCATCATCATCAGCAGCGGCATCATCAGCATCATCATCATCATCAGCATTATCTTCATCTTCACCTTCATCTTCATCATCATCTTCACCTTCACCTTCATCTTCATCTCCATCTTCATTTTAACCTTCATCGTCATTTTCATCATCATCTTCATCTGCATCTTCATCTTCATCGGCATCTTCATCTTCATCTTCATTTTCATCATCATTTTCATCTTCATCTCCATCTTCATTTTAATCTTCATCGTCATCTGCATCGTCATCTTCATCTTGATCATCATCTGCATCTTCATCTTCGTCTTCATCTTCATCTTCATCTTCATCTTCATCTTCATCTTCATCTTCATCTTCGTCTTCGTCTTCGTCTTCGTCTTCGTCTTCGTCTTCGTCTTCGTCTTCGTCTTCATCTCCATCTCCATCCCAATCTTCATCTTCATCTTCATCTTTATCACCATCATCATCGTCCTCATCATCGCCATCGTCATCGTCTTCGTCACACCCTTCACATGTTTCTTGGCCCCACAGGGAGCTCCACCTAAGTTCCCAGTGGCGCCGCCCGCATGTCGGCGCCGCCGCATTTTGGCACACACCTCACACGTTTCGTGGCCCCATAGGGAGCTCCACCTAAGGTCCCAGTGGCGCCGCCCGCATGGCGGCGCCGCCCCATTTTGGCACACCCCTCACACGTTTCGTGGCCCCATAGGGAGCTCCACCTAAGGTCCCAGCGGCGCCGCCCGCATGGCGGCGACGCCCCATTTTGGCACACCCCTCACACGTATCTTGGCCCCACAGGGAGCTCCACCTTAGGTCCCAGTGGCGCCGCCCGCATGGCGGCGCTGCCCCATACTAGCACACCCCTCACAAGTCTTGTGGCCCCACAAGGGCCGTTATGGCTTCGCGGAAGCCCAACGAGGCTGGAGCGTGAACAAACAAACGTGATGTTTGGGGGCTTCTTGTGTCGTCTGGAAGCCATCTTCGGCTGTTCTCCGGCCTTCTGTTGTGGTCCCTGGGGGCGTCTTGGGGCCCTCTTGGAGGCCTTTTGGGGCGTCTTGGGAGCGCCTCGGGGGTCTCTGGGAAGCTCTTGAGCTCATCGCGGGGGGAAAGGCTCGGGATGCCCGCTCGCATTCCCCCTCTTGAGCCCCTCGTGAATCCCTCGGAATCCTTCTTGGGCTGTCTGGATAGTTCCTGGGGTCGTCATGAGGTCTTCTTGGGGTCCTCTTGGGCCGTATTGGAGCCGTCTTGGAGCCGTCTTGGGGGCCTTCTGGGCCGTCTTGGGACGATCTAGGGGGCCTCTTGGACCGTCTGGGACGGCGTGAAGACGAAAAATCGAGTATGCTAGACATATGCGTTTTCCGATGGAAATGAAGCGAATTTTGCGTCCAGGGGCCCTCTTCGGCGGTCCTCTGGGAGCGCTTTTGGGCTGTCGTGGTAGCCACTTGGCCCGTCTCGAAGCCACCTGGGACTGTCGTGGGGCTGCCCAGTGCCATCGCGGCGCCTGTTTGGACTGTCTTGGTGCTTTGTTTGGGCCGTTGTGAGCCGTCTCGGGGTTCTAGAGAGGTTCCGGAGGCGCTGGGGGATGCGTTTAGGAGCTCCCTCCCCCTCCCCCGGCCACCCCCACCCTCTAACAGGACTTGGAGGTCTAGGGGAGGAGAACAGGGGGTGGGGGACAGCCAAATGTCTAACACGCCTCTTCATCCTCAGCAAACGGGGGTCGGCTGATTTTCATATGTTTAGTTGACCGATTTTGGCCTTTTGGGGGGAGTCCTTGGGGGGCTCCGAGCGCACCTGGAGCCATCTTGTTGACCTCATGGGGCCTCTTGCATGCATGTCGGAAACCATCTTATCTTGAACCATCTTCGGCTACCCTGTGAGCCATCTTGGGGGGCATCTCAAAGTACTTGGGGCCCTCCTGGAGCCATCTTGGGCCTTCCTGGGCGCTCTGATCGCTCGCGACCTCCCCAAAACATCTCAGGGAGGGGGGAAGGATACTCCTCCCGAAGGAAAGGTTGGCTTTGAAAGAGGAAAGGAATAACCCGTTTAAACACCTGGGATCTTCGGTAGCGGCGACGATTGTGATGATGGTGGCGGCGCTGCTGTCGATGACTGCAGTGCGGGTGAGTGAATGAGCGTGGCGGGTAAGTTGGGTGAGTTGAGGCGGAGTGGATAAGAGCGGAGTGAGTGAGTGAGTGAGTGAGTGAGTGAGTGAGAGAGTGAGTGAGTGAGTGAGTGAGTGAGTGAGCGTGTGAGTGAGTGAGTGAGTGAGTGAGTGAGTGAGTGAGTGAGGTAGCGATAAGTTATGTTCATAGTATATCTGTCCTCCTTCCTCCCTCCTCCACCACCTGCCCCCGCCCCCCCGTCCACCCACCCCAGCCCCCAGCCTCCTTCGACCCTCCTCCCACGGCCTCCTCCCTCCCTCCATCCCCGCCGTTCGTCGTCGCCGTCGTGTCGGTGGCTGCAGCTTCTCTCGCCCAGGCCCTCGCGCCCTCTCGGGGCGCGCGCGAGGCCAACCTAGCATCCTAGCGTCCTAGAATCCTAGAACCCTCCTCCTCCTCCTCCTCCTCCTCCTCCTCCTCCTCTTTGTCCTCCTCCTCGTCCACCTCCTCGCTGCTCGCTCCTCCTCGCCTCCTCGCTCCTCGCTCCTCCCCCCCCGCTCCCCCCCTCCCCCTCCACCTCGAGGACGACCCACTGTCTTGCTGGCAAGAGAAGTCGCCCGCCTCGGGCAGGAGGGCCGCCCGCCGCCCCTCCTCGGCGACCGAGGTCCCTCCGCCATGCTGAAGGGCTTCCACGCCGCCAAGGCGGGCCACGGCCTGCCCTTCGTGATGGCCATGCTGTACAGCGGGCCTCCTTGCCCTTTTTTTGGTGTGTGTGTGTGGGTGGATTGGGAGGAGGAGGAGGAGGAGGAGGAGGAGGAGGAGGAGGAGGAGGAGGTGAGCCCTTCTCCCCCATCGTCATCCTCGTCTTCGTCGTGCACGGCAGGCGCATCCGCGGTTTGGCGGCCCCTGAGCATTTCCCGCTGCCTCGCGGCATAAGTGGTAATACTTTTCTTTGGAGGCACATCGTGTTTTCATCTTCTGTGCCCCACTGTTTGTCAAGGTAGCCCTCCTAAGGAGGAGGAGGGGGGGGAGGGCGGGGCTAGCTAGACCCCCAGAGGTTCTGGCGCCCGGGTGGATCAGCTGTGCTACTGCACCGGGTTGTGCCAAGGATTCGTTTTGTTTCGTGTATGTTCCTAGCTAGTTGGAGTTGCAGGGGTTACTGAGTAGAACCGCGCGTGTGCTGCGCCCTGAAGCTTTGGGACGACGTTGTGGGTTGCTATGACTGAGATGTGGTTGAGCAAATTATTGCGTTGCTCCAGGTGGCGGTGGCATTTCTCGGCATTTTAACTGTTGACTTATTTGGCGCGACATGGCGGTACCCCAACCCTGCCCCAAGTGCGTGTGGCGTCATAGTCGTAAGCTTACTTGCCCAGCGTTAAGCCAATCAACGCCTCGGCTTCTTCTTTGCAGCGCCATGTTTGACTTGCTTGGCTCGGTGCTCGTTTGCTCCACCGACCTTCCTCTTCCATCCAGCCATGCTCGTCAACGTGCTCAGCGCCAGCTCGGGGTTACGCGCTTCATTGCACCAGGTTCACCTATTACATGTACAACGAGGTCGCATTCCTGGCCCTTGGGAAGCTGGACGCAGTCTCCCACGCAGTGTGCAACGCGATGAAGCGGGTGGTGATCATCATCGCGGCCATCGTTGTCTTCAAGACTGCTCTGTCTGCATTGCCACATCTCCTCTGCGCCATCATAGGGCTCCTCGCCGCGCCAGGGTAGGGAGAGAAAGCAGAGGGGGAGGGCAACCGACGGAGGGGAAACCACCAGGGCATACTTTCACTATGAAGCATTATTACGACTCGATCGTGGTATGAATGATTGGTATACACGCATAGATGCACTCACTTATGTAGATATGCACCTCAAACATGCGTTATTTATAGACGCATGCATGCCCATATGTAGAGATCCGCGGACCTATAGCGACGCAGAGAGGAGGGAGCACATACCGACACACTGACACGCATACCCATGAATGTATGTGTCAATCGATACGTATACATGTGTAAGCAAACGTTGTGGGAGTACATGCGCACACGTACACATATGTACGTACAAATATTTAGAGAGAGAAGGATCTATAAAGGGAGAGAGAGAGAGATAGCGATCCATACATATATATACATATATATACACATACACACATATATTCAATGAGAGAGAGAGGGAAATAGAGCGACAGAGAGCGAGAGAGGGATGCAGATCGACAGATAGAAGGAGAGAGAGAGAGAGAGAGACAGAGAGAGAGAGAGAGAGAGGAATATATATATATATAGAGAGAGAGAGAGAGAGAGAGAGAGAGAGAGAGAGAGAGAGAGAGAGAGAGAGATAGAGAGACTGATAGTGTAATGGAGATGGGGGGAAAGAGGAGAGGATATGAACGGTGCGGATCGGAGGGCAGGGTCGAGTGTACACTAGACTAGGTATCCGTATCATGCACTCATGCACATACATGTGTACACCTATATCGTACAGGTGTGCAGAGAACATGTGTGTTCGCATATTTGTATATATATATATATATATAGAGGGATAGAGGGTCAGGGAGGGCGAGAGGGAAGGACATGCGACATGGGAGGGAAGAGGAGGTCATGGGAGCGAGAGGGGGACGAGAGCGGACGGACAATAACCACGGGATGATACATGGAGAATGAGAACGAGAGACGGAGAGGCAGCGATAGAGAGATTGTTAGCACACCACGGGGAGGCATTCGAGCATATTTGACAGGTGGAGCTGCTGCTGGAGTTAACTGACTGCAAGTGCAAGGCGTAGGCAACGCTCGAGCCAACGCTCAAGAGTAAAAGCTGATTCCGAAGCTGAAGCCAGAACTAGAACTTCTATCCAATCGTGGGTTTCGTGATGCCCTGTGGTGTAGGTTTCCAGGGGTTCCACCGACATTCCTGGCGGTGAGCCGTGGTGTCCCGTTATGGCGCCCCTGAAGTTGACAATGATGGGTTGATGGAGTTTCTTTGTGAATTGGGCTACCTGGGCCTTCCTTTGAGCCATCTTATGCCATCTTGGACGCTCGAAGCCCTCGCGACCACTTTCCCGTCCAGACGTCAGGGTTTGGGAAGCGGGAGGGGTCACGTTCCCAACGGGAACGTCAACAGCTGTCTCCCTCCTTTCCACTTGCTTTCCTGTTCTATAAGTAGCGCCCGAGACTCAACCTAGGCAGAGAGAGTTTGCTATCGGATGGAAAGCCATTGGGAACCAATCAGACGCCAGGTGTGCGACGCTTGCGGGGTGCGCCTCGCATGCTGCGCGCACCAGGTGCGCCTGGTGCCCCAGGGGCCGAAGCGTGCCAGGCGCGCCTGGTGCGCCAGATGCGCCGCGTGCGCCCTGTGCGCCACCTGCTCCAGCCGCGCCAGGTGCGCCAGGTGCCTCAGGCGTGCCAGTGCACGTGGCAGCACACATTTGGCAGTATGTCGACCCCCCGGCCATCCGTGTCAACAGCTACTGCCATGTGGCGGCGGGGTGGTCGGGGATAGTGGGATAGGTCACAACGGACATCTGCTCAGCCCCCCGCCATCCCTGTCAAAAACAATTCCAGTGCTCGCGGGGGTCCCGCTGGTTCCGCTCACGATCCAGATTTTGCCGCTACGTGCACTTTATATTTTTTTTGGTCATGGATGGATTGGCCCTCATGGTTCCTGGTCGGCGGCCGGTTGAGTGGGGGACGGGGTGCTCTTAAACCAGGAGCAGTGATCAATTCCTCCCTGAAGGGGAAGGCGAGGTTTAGAAGAAAATCATATCTACCCAGAGGGCTGGTGCTCAGAGTCCATTTTGATCTAATTGGTCCGATTTGATCCGATCGAGCCGATTTGATTCCGATATGCCGACGATCCGACGCGGCCCGATGCTTGCTTCGCGCTGTTGTGCATCCTGGCTCGGCCGATCCGATTCGATTCCGACTGCGTGTCGATGCGGCCCGATCCGACGCACATTCCGATTCCATTCGACTTCGCGATTCGATGCTGATTGATCCTACCATTATGATTCCGAGACCTCCGCCTGGTGGCGGGAAACGTCGGGGTCTGCCCGCTCCTCCGTGCCTGCTCCTTTGCTCCCGTCCTCCTTCCTCCTCTTCCCCCCTCTTCCTCTCCTTCTTCTTCTTCTTCTCCTTCTTCTCCTTCTCCTTCTTCTTTTTCTTCCTTCTTATTTTTCATTATTCTTCTTCTTCTTCCTCTCCTTCCTCCTCTTTCTCTCGTCCCTCCTCCCTCCCTGCTCCCTCCTACCCTCCCCCTTGCCCCGCCTCCCAGCTCCCTCCCTCCTCCGCTTCTAGACCTTGGCTGGGTGATAGCGCGGAGGTGGGGGTGGGGCAGCAGCAGGCAGGAGGAAATGTCTGCGAACTTCTTGTGCACCCCTCACCCTGACCTGCGCACGGACTCGAATTGCGCAGTCTGCAACAAACCGTTGGCTTCGACACCCGCGTTCCCCGTTTCTCCAGGCGCGCTGCTCTTGTGTGCTAAACGTTACTTAGGTTAGGTTCCAAGATCTGTGAAACCCGAGCGCGCGCGAAGCGTGCGCGATGGTTCAAGTTATATGCATCCAGGCGCTCCCGTCGCCCACGTCTTCGACGCTCCCAGGTGAATGTGGGTAATGCCCGCCCATGGGCTATCCACCCCTTCTGCCTCCGCCGACAGCCCCCGACGGACTTCAGGACTGCCCCAAGATGCGTTCATGCCCCAAGATCCCCCCCACAAGGCCCCGAGAGGTCCTGAGATGCCCCCGAGGGTGGCCCGGATGCCCTCCGCAGGTACCGCAGATGCCGCTGGGATGCAACGAGAGCCCCCCACCCCGGAGCAACCATAGAGCGGTGGAGAAAGCTAAGAGACCCCAGCTAAAGGCTACAACTAGTTCGAAAGCTGAACATGAAGCTACCGCCCACCCAAACTTACGGGAATACCGAGTTCTAAAGCTAAAGCTGAAGCTGTTGGGACAGCTACACCTAAAGCCACAAGTATAGCGAAAGCTTGCTTCCAAGTTCTGACTGTAAAAGTTGAAATCTCGAGATACAGCAAACTTTGCGGCATACACATAAGCGCTGGAACGATATAAGCGCGAGGTGCAGAGCAACCACCTAGTTTTAACATGCCAGCCTTGCGTCATAATGCTCAAGTCAGCTTCCCACAGGGATCCTCCAGTACGATTCCCGGCGTGGTATTAAGAAAGCGAGTATTACTATTGCTAGCATTGGTTCGTAGACAGACAACTATTACCATTACTACTCTTACTACTCCTTACTACTCTTACTACATGTCCTACTACTCCTACTACTACTACTACTACTATTATTACTACTACTACTACTTCTACTTATACTTCTACTTTTACTACTACTAGTGCTACGACTACTAGTGCTACTACTACGACTACTCGTGCTACTACTAGTGCTACGACTACTTATACCTATTACTACGACTACTAGTGCTACTACTACGAGCACTATGAACACTACGCCTTCCACGAATGCATCAGCTATGAAGAATAATCATGCTGACGCTGATGCTAATACTTAGCAGTGATGTTAGTATTGTTACTATTGCCAAAAACTGTGCTAACACTATATGATGGGAGGTCACTGAAGAACGGGAGGCAACGGGAGGCAACTGGAGACAACGGGAGACAACGGGTGGCAACGAGAGACAACGGGAGATAACTGGAGACAATGGGAAATAACGGGAGGCAATTGGAGACAACGGGCGACAGCGGGAAACACTGGGCGACGACGGGAGACAATATGAGGCAACAAGACACAATGGCAGACAACGTCGCCCGCCCGATTTCGGTTCTGGCCGGGCGATCTGTTGTTGCTCAGAACACTTGTACCTATAAGACTCGTATATATGTGTGTATATATATACATATATTGCTGTAGATGTGTCGTCAATCGATCAACCTCACTAGCTATCAATCGATGCCACTACCCCTCGATCTCACTGACAACCTTAATCTTGATGCCTCTTTCGACCTCACTGTCTTTCTATCGATCTCCCTTTTATTTGCCGATCTCACCATGCATCTATCGGGACAGCCATCGGGAGAACCAGGGCATTTTGCCTGCGTTTTGGCCACATTCTCGAGGCGCCGAAGGTGCCGAGCGCATGTGTATTGCCGGAATCCACCGGAGCAACCATGGGGGCAACCATGGGGAAAACCATTGGGACAGCCATCGTGACAACCATCGTGTCAATCATCGGGACATCGTCGGGACAACCATCGGGACAGTTATCGGGACAACCATCGGGACAATCATCGGGACAACCATTGGAACAACCATCGGGACAACTATCGTGTCAACCATCCGGACAACCATTAGGACAATTGTCGGGACAACAATCGGGACAACTATCGGGACAACCGTCGGGACAACCGTCGGAATTACCATGAGGACAACCGCGGGACAACCGCGGGACAACCACGGGATAGCCACGGGACAACACCAGAAAACTGCGGTCCCAATTTGTAAACCGGACGGGAGGTATCAGCGGCGGGGCGGCTCCTCTCGCCCGTGCATGCCGCTTTTCCTGACCCGTACGTCTGGCACGAACACGAAACCGAAAAGGATTTCCTTGCGGGGGGTCATGTTTCACTCCGATCTCACCACCCAACCTCCGATATAGCAGAAGCTGTTTAGGGAAACACGAGCAAGAATGGCCGTCGATCGTGGCCAGCATTCCGTACAAACTTCGAGCCTACCCATGATAATATCCCCAGTTTTTTGTTGCAGAAAGGGAGGGTATGATGAGGAATTGCATTGTTTTGCTACTATCAAAACTAGACGCATACTTACATATATGCGGGTCTGTATGTCTGTGTGTATGTCTGTATGCCCGTATGTCTGTGTGTCTGTATGTCTGTATCTCTGTATGTCTGTATGTCAGTATGTCAGTATGTCAGTATGTCTGTATGTCTGTATGTCTGTATGTCTGTATGTCTGTATGCATTTCTGTATGTCTGTATGTATTTACGCATGCATGCATGAATGCATCATGCATGCATGTACGTACGTACGTACGTGTGTATGTATGTATGCATGCATGCATGTACGTATGTATGTATGCATGCATGCATGCATGTCTGCATGTATGTATGTACGTATGTATGTACGTATGTATATATACATGTGTCTATTTTCAACACATGCATGTATATATTTGTGTATATTTATTGCCGACTACTGATGCTTCCACTTCGACATTTCATATTCACGTAGACATTATCATTGCTATTACTACGAGGAGTACTATTGCAAATCCTAATGCTAGCGCCGACGCGAGTACCAACACTAAAACTGAGAATAATCGTATTCGTGCCAGTGAGACAATACTAACGATGCGCATGCGATGGGAGCCCTCAGGAGGCAAAGTCAGACCACGGGGGACCGCAGGATGCCACGGGAGACGGCGGGAGACCAAGGCGCCCAACCGATTGCAGATTTGGCGATCCCCGCATCCGGCTTCGGGAAAGAGTTGTACGGGACCCTCACAGACAATACAGGCAAGCTGTTTTTGGAGTGAAGGTGGTGTTCTCTTGTGTCTTGGGAAGTCGACCGCGGTATCATGCGGTATCTTGAGCTTGCTCAGGTGCACTCTCATCTTACCCGTGCGGTTGCGAAAGCCAGATCTCCGTGCGCCAGGCCCAAATTGGTGGTGGCGGTGCTTCCTCCTGTCGTCTCAACCGGCCTCTTCCTACCTTTTTTGCAGGACGCCAGTAACGGCTACCGGCATCGCCGGCAGCAGCATCGCCATCGCTGGACGGGAGAGGGTGGGGCGCTGGGCTTGGGCCATATTGATTCTCCATCCTTCCCTCTCTCCCTCTCTCCCTCCCTCCCTCCCTCCTTCCCTGTCTCCTTCTCTTTCTCGTTCTTTCTCTCTCTCTCTCTCTCTCTCTCTCTCTCTCTCCCCGTCTCTCTTTCTCGCTCCTAGATCTACATGTGCGTACACAGGAGTAGATGCATTTTCATGCTTGGTAAAGGTGTACGTGTATATGTTTTTTTACTCCTGATTGCATACTCATAAAAGTACATGCGCACGCATTACTGCCCAGGCACCTCCCCAGATATCTCAACAGAGCGTCAGACGATTCCAGGGGAGCCCGTGGGGGCCCCCGATGCTCTGACATGAACCCAAGACTGCCCCACGAGGCCTGAAGAGGCCTCCGACGAGGGCCCCAGCCATCGTGGAAGCCTTTCTGGCATGTCTTGTGCCGTTTTGTGTGATCTGAGATGCCATGCCGTCCTAGGCTATCTTCGGCCACAGCGGAGCCTTCTCTTAAGCCATGTCGGAGGCCTCCAAGGCCCAGCGGGCTATTCTGGGGCCTCCAGAGTGAGCGAAGATTGTTGGCGAGCTCGTCGTATTCACCGAATCCCGATTTAGGATCCACAGGGCATGGCGACATAGGCCAGGGGTACAGCCGAACGCAGGATGCGCCAGGGGTCGGCCGTTGGCAATCTTTTATGTTGTGCCCTCCTGTCCGATCCGAGCGCGGGGTGGGGGATCGGCGTGTCTCGGAGGAGCGCCAGGCAAGAGTCTCCGAGGTTTCTGGAGCGCGTGGGCGGATCCCGTCTCCCTGGGGAGGCTGGCGTCGGGGTGCGCCCTGCGTGCGGGAGTTCAGCGGGCTTTAGCGTGCTCGTGATCTTTGCGGTGCCTGTTCCGCGTTCGGGAGTTTTCGGCGGGCGATGGCTGCGAGAAGGCCTCGCGGCGTGCTCGCCAGGGCTCTCGGTGTCAGATTTCCTTGCCGCGCGGGGGAGGCCCTGGGCACCTGGCCCGGCGTACTCAGGGACCAGAGTGATGAAGCTCGATGATTTTTAGGCCTCGGGAGGCTCACGCGACATAAGTCGACCGCCCGGGCCTTGAGATCTTGGTTCCCTGGGCGCTCACGAGTCTTGCAACCTCTGGTGCCGCTCACACTCTGGCTTGAGCCTCAGCGGAGTCTGCCACGTGGTGAAGACACGGTGGCAGGCGTTGCGACAGGAATCGGGGAAGCATTTAGTCGACATATATCCTCCATGACATTCACAGGGGGAACAGGCTCAGGGGAAAATCTTGACCGAGGGCGATGATGGTGATTGCCTTTCTGGCATGTGCATGTGGGCGGGCATGACCCTTGTGGGCATCCCGATTGTGACGGTGGTGCTGCGTGCTTGCAGTGCCCAGCCTCTGGTCTGAGCTTTGCGTACGTCTGCGACCCCTCGCGCGCTGTGTTATGCTACGGAAGGCCCTCGCATTTCCCCTCGTATCCGCGTCGCGCTGGCGGGAACGTCTGGGAGGCGGGGCTGTTTCCATGTATGGAAGGTCCAGAGTGGAGGAGAATGATCTTGGGTGGTGTTGAACAGAAGTGGTCTGGGGATCGACTACGGCAGGTTCGTGCCGCGTTGACGCGGCCGTGTCCCCAGCGCGGGCGTTCAACGTTGAATTGAAGTCGGCTGGTATCGAACGATCTGCGCTTTCGGAAGGCCGCGATCGTTCACGGTTGCACGATCCACGCGGAGTCAGAAACCACCGCCCAGGTTATCACGTGACGAATTTGCCGCGGCGGCTTATCCAGGGGGTTTCTGCGTCCGCGCTGGCTTCGCGCGTCCCGCCCTGTCTCATGCAGGAACCCTGCTCTATTCCCTGGCGAAGAACAAGTATCCCAGCAAGTGAGCTTTCAAAGGTGTCAGGCCTGCGACGCCACGGCTTTATCTTTAATGCGGCATCAAATCCCCGCCTCTGCTCTGCATCTCACGCCTGTGGCACGCGCGGATGCGACCACACACGTGTGTGCGTCTATGAGATAAGCGTGTGCGTCCATGTCTTGGGCACGCAGTCTTTTGTGCGAGACATTTGGTTCACACACACGGACACGTACACATACCTGGAACCCTCAGCTAGAGCAATTAGCTTAGCCTCTAATTTTTTGCTTGCCTTTCGTCGATCGAGTGTCCTGTGCCGTTTCATTACCTCTGGTCTTTCCGCAGTCCCCTCACTCGGACAAGTTCGGTACAATTGGCACGCTCCATCACCCCAACGCAGAGCTCCCTCCCCCCCTGAGATAGACCATGTTGTGAGTGTCTAAATCAATATTTAATCGCTTCGCTCATTCCGCCGGCCCTGGAGCGCTATTTGGGGCCTCTTGGGGCTGTTTTGGGGGCTTCTTGGGGGCTTCTTGGGAGCGTCTTGGGGCTCCTTGGCGGCGTGTTGGGCTCCCCTGGGGCCTCTTGGGGGGCTCTTGGGGGCCCCTTGGGGCGGGAGGGGGGGTAGTCGTTGGCAGCCCCCCCCTCGGAGGCCACGATCCTCGTGAGGGGTGGCGAAAAGTAGCCTCCCTCCTGGGGATCGCCCGGGGGTCAGCCAGGGATCGGCCGGGGTACTTATCGTCCGGGGCCCCCCAGGGGCCGCCCCGCGCGCGCGAACCAGAAATATTGTTAAGTAGTTACCGGAGATCTTAGCACGCCTCTGGCCCGTTGGGCCGGCGAATTCAGATCGCTTGTCTTCAGCTGGTTATTTGTGTATTTGTGAATGGAGATTCCCCAGACAGTGTTTGCACTTAGGGGTTCTTCCTTGTCCCCCGAAGAATTTGGCTGGCTCCGGCGAGGCTTCGCCACGTTGCCGCCCGTTGCCGCCTTGTTGCCGCCTCGTGTGCTGGGTGGGTCCAGCGAGGTTTCGCCACGTTGCCGCCCGTTGCCCCTCCGTTGCCGTCTCGTGCGCTGGGTGGGTCCAGCGAGGTTCCGCCACATGGCTGCTCGTTGGCGCCTCGTTGCAACCTCGTGCGCTAGGTGGGTCTGGCGGCGAGGTTTCCCCACGTTGCCGCCCGTTGCCGCTTCGTCGCCGCCTCGTTGCCGCCTCGTTGCAAGCTCGTGCGCTCGGGTGGGTTCGCCGAGGTTTCGTCACTTTGCCGCCCGTTGCCGCATCGTTGCCGCCTCGCGCGCGAGGTACGTTTGGCGAGGTTTCGCCACTTTGCCGCCAGTTGCTGCTTTGTTGCCGCCTCTAGCTTTTACCGCGTAGACTGCACCACAAGAGCTTACCCCACATAGCTTACACATCCACACTGCAGAAACTTACGGTCTGGAGGTCACGCTGGCCAACATACATATGTATGTATGTATGCATGCATGCATGCATGCATGCATGCATGCATGCATGTATGTATGTATGTATGTATGTGTGTATGTGTGTATGCATGTATGATGTATGCATGCATGTATATAATATGTATATGTATATGTATATGTATATGCATATGTATATGTATATGTATATGTTTATGTATATGTATATGTATTTGTATATGTATATGTATATGTATATGTATATGTATATGTATTTGTATATGTATATGTATATGTATATGTATATGTATATGTATGTGTACATATATATGTATGTGTATGCATACGTATACGTATATGTATATGTTTATGCATGTGTTTATCTATATCTAACTGTATATGTATATGTATATGCATATGTATATGTATATGTATATGCATATCATATGTATATATATGTATATGTATATGTATATGTATATGTATATGTATATGTATATGTATATGTATAGGTCTATGTACATATATATGTATATGTACATGCATGTATATATATATATATATATATATATATATATATATATATATATAAACGCATGACCGTATTTATGTGATGCGTGAAATTATGCTTACCTCTACGGCGCGAGATGCCGAATCTGTTTTGGTTCGAGAGGTCGAGGACAGTTGATCGCTGCGCGGCATTCTACTATCGGTTGACGTTGGTATAATGGCCGCCTCCGACGCTAAGCTTGGCTTCCACAGACGGAGGCTTCGGAGCTGGTGGACTCTCTGGCTCGTCTGGTGTAGTCGGCAGACATTGGCTCAGGTTTGCGAGGCACATGTTGTGGTTCGGCGACCTGGCGAGGTTTTGCTGGGTGTTCTGCGAGCACCTGAGAGAGGCGAACCGAGCAGCCGCGTGGGTAAGGATAATTGCAGATCGTGCTCATGGAGGCGTCTGAGCAGTTCATTTGCTGGGGTCATGTGGGCTCACGGATTCGGTTGGTGCAGGTCAGGCTGCCAACCAACAGCGAAACCAATAGCATGGAGGATTAGGAACTCGACTACTGGCGGAAGTCCTGGCGACCTGGCGGACAAACCAGGCTCGAGCAACAGCTTTGTGGACACGAGAAGTATCGGCAGACCATCGGCATTTGACGGCACGGACAGCAGATACCGAGTTAAATGCAAAGTTCCAGAGTTTCGGGGTGAGGGTTTCTGGGGTAGCCTCCGTTGCGTGCCATAGTGGGCAGTGGGGCGCAACCCAAAGATCAAAGAACAAGCCTGGGCCGACGCTGTGGGCCATGACGTCGAGGACGGCGACCATCTCGAGAGTTGATGGAAGGGTTGTGCCGAGTGCTCGAAGCCTTGAAGCATGTGTTCACTGTAGGAACGCTCGCCACGTCGATGGAACATGAGCAGCGGTCGCGGCTTTGATTGGTGGCGTAAGCTGGCGAGAAGATATGCTTGGATCATTGGAGGTCGCGTGGGAACTCTCCTCAGCCACGTGATTGCGTCAGGCCGATGCTGTCGAAGGTGTCGGCTGCGCCTTGAAATGCTCGGGGAAGGAGTGATGGTTCGGCTCGAGAGGCGTGGGGAGGCTGCAGGCAACAACAGAGATCACTTGTCCGAGGTGGTGAAGGCAACGGCTTTGGAAATCACTATGCTGAAGGAGGTGGAGGATCATGCGGTGCTCAACCAGGCGCGGCTCGCAGCGTTCGAGGAGGTGCGCGGCCGATCTCGAACCCAAAGCGACGCGAACATCGGTGGCGTTCGGCCGCGACAAGAACGGCGCGGGCCCGGGCAAAGGCGGCGAGGGCAGCAAATGCGACGGCATTGGGGGACACAGCAGGGGCAAGGCAGCTCGAGACCAGGTCGTGCTTCCCGTGCTGGAAGTGTCCGCGCGGCGGCGGGGCGCGGGCAGGCGCGTGCTGCCCGCTGGCCGCGCGGCGGCGGCGAAATGCCGAGGCCAGAGCGAAGGCTGCGCCGATGGCTGGCGCGCTCTGCTCCGACCCCGTGGGCGGCTACCTGAAGACTAGTTCGGTGGCCGCCCCGAACCAGGGGAGCTTTTCGCGACGAACGCGCCGGGCAAAGCGATCGACGGGTGGCCCAGGGCGAACTCGTCTGCGCGAGGTTGTCGGGGGGGGGGCAGTCGGCGCGCCCTGGCGGGCGCCTGCGTATCTGCGTATAGGTTTGGCCATCCTGTTCCCATTGTGAATCAGGCTCTCTCCCCAGGAATGTAGGAGGCCCGAGAGGGGTTCCCCAGAAACCTCGAGGGCCCTGCTGTTTCATTCCCCGCTCTTTCTCTTTGTTGGTATTTATCCCGACCGCCGCTGTCTATAATCGAAGGGCCCTTGGCCTCGGAGCTACGCCATTTGTTCGAGCCGCGCTCGCAGCAAAAGTACCTTCGGCGCTGCGCGCCGACCCATATCACAGCGGTAGCTTGGAGCGGGTCTCAGCTGCCCGGCGCCGCGCGCCTCTATATCAGCCACGACGAAACCGTCGTGCACCACCGCGGAATCGATGCCCAGCGGCGTCCTGCGAGCCCTCATCGGCCTGAGCTTTGCGCTCAACTCCGCCAGCGTCAGCGACGGCAGCCAGCCTCTACCTGTGCGAGTACCCCCCCCGACGTCTGCGACGTCCATTTCAGCCTCTGCAAGATCATCGATAGCGTCAGCGACGCTGTCTCAGAGAACGTTTGCGACGTTCATTTCAGCATCTACACGGTCATTGATAGCGTCAGCGACGCTGTCCACGTCTTCGACGTCTGCGACGTCAATTTCAGCATCTACAAGTTCAAGTCCGCCGGCGTCAGCGACGCCAGCTCTTACCTGTACGAGAATCAAGACGTCCGCGACGTCACTTTCAGCATCCACAAGCTCATAGATCACGTCAGCGACGCCCTCTACACCACAGAGAACGTCTGCGGTTTGAGTTTCAGCATCTATAAGTTCATTGATAGCGTCAGCGACGCAGTCTACAGCCCAGAGAACGTCTGCGAGTTCAACTTCAGCATCTGCATCGCAATGGCTGACGCTCACAATTTCAACAGTAGCAACCAGGCCATCCCGACCTGGAATGGTGACCTGCTACGTGGCGCGATTTCAAGCAGGAAGTGAAGCTCTGGAAGCTCAGCGAGAACCTGGAGGTGACGCAAAGTCTCGCATCCAAGCTGGTTCTTCGCCTCACGAGCGCGGCCCTTTCGGCCGCGCTCAACGTGCCCGAGGCCGACTTGCGCCCGCCTGCCGACGAAGCGATCGAGGATGCCAACGAGAGGAGGCGCGACCGCAACCTCAAGGGCATCAACAACGTGCTGGTGCACCTCGAGTCCCTCCTGGGCCAGCAGAAGCCCGTGCAGAAGGGCGAGGCGCTCGAGAAGTTCTTCGAGTCGACGCAGCATCACCGTCGCCCTGGAGAGCGCATGACGGATTGGCTCGTCCGCTTCGAGGCCGGGTTGCAGCAACTACGCGAGAGCGAGGTGAACCTCTATGCGCTCGACGACGTGGCGGGGTGGTTCATGATCCGGAAGGCCGGGTTGACGGCCGAGCGCCGCGAGCGCGTCGTGCACGTGGGCAACTTGCCCGACGAGCACTGCTCCTACCAGCGCATCCGCGGCCTGCT